CATTCAAAACTTAAGCGTATAATAATTAATGTAGATAAAAAACGGGCTGGTAGGAACGGAATGAAGAGAAAACTAACGCCTTAACCTAGACTCATGCCATCAAGCATTTGATATCATAAACAGATGATAAAATAAAAGACATTTTGATTAAATTATTACTCTTCCAAAAGTCAAATTTATATTTTTTTTGTTTTGTAATTAATTTTTTCTAAAGTTTTAAAAATATTTACAATAATCTATTTGACTATTTATGTTCATCAATGAAATTCACACTGCTAGAAAGTAGTAGTTTCATATTATATTTGCAAGCAAAATTCTCTGTAACAATTAGTAATCGTTTGCACAAAGATAGAAGGGTTATCAAGAGCACGAGAAAAAAGACATCGGTATGATATATGAATACAAGTGTTTACATCTCTCTTGATACCTATTCTGTTCTTATTTGTGTCACATGGCTAGTAACAATGAATATGAAATCGCTCTAATCAAGAATGAAATAGATGCTCGTTTATGTGCTAAATTAATTGCGGAAGAGTTTGCTTTACACAATCATTTGTCGGCTTTTAATCATCCAACACCTGAAGAATTATTTAATGGATGGGTTTGGTCATTAATGATCGATACACTTAATGAAAAATTATCATTTCTTATACGACATTGTCCAACGAATGAAATTGTTGCAGTAATTATAGCAGGCGACCTCTTTTTAGAGTGTTAAAAATCATCCATATGATGTTTCTAGTCTTGCAACTCATAATCCACTTATAAATCTATTTGACGAAATGCTTAATCACTTTGTTCATCATGATTTCAATCAACAATTAAAACCGAAGATGATTTTATTTATTTCAGTTGTTGCAACGAAATCTAAATACTTAGATAAAGATTTAGCTACTCAATTGAGTACTCATATATGTGATTATGCACGAGAAACAAAAGAAGGGTTTCAATATGCATTTGTGCAAACATCAAATCCAGCAACACGTCATATCTATGTCAAAAAAAATGCATCGAAAAGAAATGACAATTATTGATCCAGCAACTTGGTTATGGATGAAGAATGATGATGGTTTATTATGTTCATTGAAATATTATAAAGATGAACCTGTTGTTAATATTCTTATCAAACTGAGCGAACAAAAATAATTTATTATAGAACAAGACTAGTTCTGTTTTTTACATGCTCCTTACTGAATATCAAGAATCCATTAAGATAAAATCCTGTGTGTGGGTATGACTATGAATGTAGGTATGAAGTGTGTGAAATGTCTTCTTCATGTACATCCATATCTATACCCACATCAAGCTGTAGTAAACTGTAAAGTTGAAGCTGTCACACACCTACCTCAGAGATGTGAGTGTGGTGGTTACTCTGTATTTTATTTGAACCGAAGAAGATTATTTTGTTAGCATATGATCTAGGACTCATCGGTTTGAGCTCGTCGTTCTGCTTCTTGCTTGATCATTGTCTGCTGAATATTTATTGATAGTCCAGGATTTAGACCCAATGTATATGGTAGCAGTGTTTTCGGTATATCGCTGAAATCGACCATAATCTTTATGAAGATAGTGTCATCTCGAACATATGGATTACCATCTGATTCAATCATTACCAATGGACAAAATTTGAGTATTCCACTTGCAATATTCATTTCCGATCGAGGCCTCTGAAAACTATTCGATTTAATATCGGGTCGAAAGGAATCAATGATATGTTTTTGAGCTGAAGTTTGATCATACAAACAAAGTGTAACCTTGAAATTGAATGGAAATTTCAAAATGGCATCATATTCACTTCGCATAAGTACGAAAAAGAGTGACATATGTGTACGACGCGCATTTCCATCTCCATTAAAATACAATCGACCTCGCATCTTGTAACCAGTTGGTGATGAATAAAAGAGAGGTGAATAGATTGAATTTTGCCGTTCTGACTGAGTATCCATTAAAAAAATTAAATATTGTTAACCCACTATATGGATCTGTTTGACGCTTTTCGTCGAAAAGATTATAAAAATAGACTTACATCGACATAATAAACTTCATCTTAGTAAAACATAGAATGAAAAAAAAAGTAGTGCTAACTTTTGCTTAGTAACTTGTTCATTAAACTCTGATATTAGTATTCAATCTATGAGGAAAGACAAACTAACTATACCGTCACAATGCTCAAAGATATTTAGGATTATCTGTAAAACTTCAGACTCCTAAGTCTTGTGCTTTGTTGTAGTCTATCATTTTCTTTTGTACCAGTGAAGCAGGTTACATGGTTGTTTTTTGTGTATCAATTTTCGATCCTTCAATAAATTGTATTAGAAAAACAAAAGATATCACAAGATGCAGCGTGCAAAGCTCTACAATTTACATAAGATCGCTTTTATAATAGTTGCACATTTTGCTCTGAAAATGGACAAAGTTTTGAGCAATCGAATTTCGACGCTGCGAAAAAAGTAACACGAACGAAAAATTTCTTTGTTCTTGTTTCACTTTTTTATTGCCTATACAGATTGTACAGCTTTTCATACTGCACTTTGCCACATATTTTGTTTTTATTTACGAAAACATATTCGGTCGAAAATAGATGAAATAAGAAAAAAAGAGCTCGTTTTGTGTAAAAAAGATTACAATTGCTGTTCGGCCTGAATGTGGTTGGTAACAATTTTGTTCGTTTTGAAAGTAAAACATGCAACTATAAAAGAAGCGCTCTTGTGTAAATTGTAGAGCTTTGCACGCTGCATCTTATGATGTAGTTTGTTTTTCTAACACAACTTATCAAAAGGGTTGAAAATTGATACACAAAGAGTGGCCATGTAACCTGCCTCACCGGTACAAAAAAAATGATAGACTACAACAAAACACAAGACTTAGAAGTCTGAAATTTTACACATAATCCTAAATATCTTTGGGCATTATAACGGTATAGTTAGTTTGTGGTCAAGTCTTTTAGGAGAGCCGGGTGAAAAAACTTTTGTAGTATCCCATGTAATAAAAACAGTTTTCCGATAAATCTGGTGACCAGAATTTAATTTGGGTTGCCAAAAAGAGGACTTCGTAGTGAGCCAAGATGGATTCTGGTCACCAAATTCATCTCAAAATTGTTTGTTGTAGTAACCCAAAATACAATCTGCTCGCCAGATTTATCGGAAAACTGTTTTTATTATGTTTAACTAATAGGGATTCTTTTCGAAAATATACTTGTAGTAATCAATTTGTGACAAATGATAGACATTCGTTGATATTATGTAGTATGAGAAGCAATATGATATTGATTCACAACAGACATTATGCATCTTATGTTAAAAAGATCTCCAAATAAAAAAGTCCCCAAAATGAAAATTTCCATTTGGTGATCAGAATTGATCTTCATCCTTTTATTATCCCCAAAAATGGGGATTTGATTTGAGAGTTCATTTGGAGAACCACAATTTGGGGCAAACGATAGGCATTCATAAATCAATATCAATCAAACTCATTTTTTCTTTGAAATTTGTTATCTTCCATATTAATGTTCCATTATAGGAAATGAATTGCATGTCGTCTAGTTTTTGTTTTAATGATAAAACATCTTGTTGAAGAATATCTTGATTAGTTTTAAGTTCATCCAACAAATTATTTTGTTCTTGAATACTTAATTTGAGTGTAGGTATATTCCCAATTAATCTATCGATTGAATTTCGTAGATTCACTGACTCGCAACTAAGATGTTGTGCATCTTCATTCAATGTTTGAATTCCATCCACAAGAATAGGGTGTGGGGTGTGGGTGTGGGGTGTGGGTGTGAGTGTGGGATGTGTGGGTGGGTGTGGGGTGTGGGTGTGGGTGTGGGTGTGGGTGTCGGTGTAGCTGTGACACAAGCCCAGGCATACCAGGTCCACACTAGACACCTGCGGGACAAAGTTTTCTATGTCCCGAATCCCGTTTGTCCCGTCACGACTTTTTTTAAATAGCGC